ACAGGTCTGTAATCCTAGCAGTTTGAGAGGTGGGGAGGCAGGAGATTATGAGTTCAAAGCCAGCCTCAGCAAAAGTGAGGCATGCTAAGCAACTCAGTGAGATTCTGTCTGTAAATAAAAACACAAAGTAGGGCTGGGGTTGTGGCTCATTAGCCAAGTGCCCCTGAGTTCAATCCCTGGTACCCCCCCCCCCCCCCCAAAAAAAAAAACCCAAAAAACAAAAAAAAAGAGTATCTTTGGTGTCTCCTTTCTTTCCCTTACTTTCTCTCTCTCTTTTCTCTCTCACATTCTAGCTTTTGCTGTGAACATTATGTGGACTCCTGGATATTTGGAGGGGGATTGTAAACTATTACTATCATTTTTCTTTTTCATGGTCCCATTACCCCAAATTTGGCAGTGGGAGCTCCTTCAAGGTAGCTCATTAATGTACATGGGTATGTATGTATCATACAACCTAAATTAGTTTTTGAGAAATTTCTAGTTCTCTGGCATATACAGTATGTCCTAGGCTCATCTTAATCTTTCCCTGCCTTAGAACTGAAACCAATCACTTCTCCCAGGAGTTCTGGTTCCTTCTAATGGGAAATGGTGTTTTGAAACAAAGATCTCAGTGTTAGGTGTCTAATAGCAAGGGGTGGAACCAGATTTATGGTGGCTGAAGCAAATACAGTTTTGGGATTTTTAAAAAAGAAGAATACAAAATTACAAATCTAAAATTGGGTAGATAGCCTTAGAAGAGGCTTCCAAGTAAGGACCTGTAATTTATATTTTATGAGCTTCCTTACTATTTGGGTGTTATTGCTTTTAGTATCTTTCAGTGAGGAGTATTCAAATCCAACATCATGATGTTCTTTTTTAGCTTCTGCTGTTTTATATTTTTAAATAAATCAGGATGAAAATCATGTTTCTGAAGATCTTCAATATATTTGTTGATTTATTCTTTCTTACAATAGAGACAAAAATGGCTTCAGAATCACAACACCAATATTCTTACCAAAACCAAGCCTATTAGTAAAGTACAAGATTTTGTTGCAATTTTTCCTAATACATTGCCTATTCTATTAAGGATATGCAGCCAGAGTACTACATCCAAGTGTACCTAATTATTTTTCTGTATGGTCATGGTATCAACCAATATATAATTAACTTCATTTGTTTCTATTTGAAACTGAGAGGTTTTACTCTTTAAATTTTTTTTTTTTAGTTGTCAATGGACCTATATTTTATTTATTTATATGTGGTGCTGAGAATTGGTCTCAGTGCCTCACACATGCTAGGCAAGTGTTCTACCACTGAGCTATAACCCCAACCCTTTTATCCCTAATCTTTCCATCCCCTAACCACCCATCCTCTATAAAAAATCATTTTTTATAATTTGTGGTTTATCACCTGGAAATATTTTTTTTGTCAAAAGTTGCAACTATTTAACTATTGATTCTCTTTTTTCTTTAAACAAATATAGTATATTGCCACTCTTGAATCTTTTTTCTTCTACCTACTACATGCCAGGACTCACTCCATATCTGCTCATGGAGATCCTCATTCTTTTTATAGCTGGAGAATAGTCCTACCATGTAGATGCTCTACAGATTATCTAACCAGTCTCCTACAAGTGTAATTTGATTGTTTCCATTATTTAAGTTGCTGTTTTGGAAAAGTGAATAAACTGTACTGTTAATTCAAACCTGAGTGAATTATGTGTCCAGACAATAAAACTAACAATTTGGGAAGCATTTGAAGTTCACCAATCAGAACTTCTAAAATTTTGGTTCATTCATTCATTTATTCAACCATAACTGGATATCAGGATCTGATATTAGAACATTATTCACCTTGATGAGCTAAATCATTTGAGTTACTGAAATGGATTTACTAGGCTTCTTTTAAAAAATATTTTTAGTTGTAGATGAACACAATATCTTTATTTTATTTATTTACTTTTTTATGTGGTGCTGAGGTTCAAACCCATTGCCTCACATATGCTAGGCAAGTGCTCTATCAGTGAGCTACAACTCTAGCCTTTACTAGGCTTCTTACAGAGATTTGATTGGTTTATAAAATATGAAGCAGTTGACCTGAGAGTTGGACACTGGAAGTAAGTGGTTAATGGAATTTTGGGTTCTTATTACTTCTTTCACTGCATACATACCATGCATAGATGTGGCTCCACTACTTGAAATCTATATCCATAGGTTTGATGCAAAATTAGAGCACTTACTTAGCCAAGTAAGCAAGGCTTAAATTTTCAAGACAATATTCTTAAATACATATGAGATGTACACAAATATAAAATAAATACACACATAAGAAACACATAACCCACATGCATATATCTATCTATCTCTATCTATCTATCTATCTATCTATCTATCTATCTATCTATCTATGCCAACCCTCCATAACTATGGGTTCTGCATCTATGGAGTCAACCAACCTTGAATCAAAAATATTAGGAAAAAAATTGCATCTGTACTGAACATGTCCAGACTTTCCCCTATCATTATTCCCTAAACAATATAGTATAAAAGTTATTTACAAAGCATTTACATTGCATTAGATATTGTAAGTAATCTTGAAGTGATTTAAAGTATATAGGAGGAAAAGCCAGGCATGGTGGTGCACACCTATAATCCCAGGGACTCTGGAGGCTGAGGTAAGAGGATTACAGCCTGTGCAACTCAGTGGAGACCTTGTTGCCAAAAAAAAAAAAAAAAGACCTGGGATGTAGTTCTGTGGTAAAGCTCCTTTGGGTTCAATCCTTGGTACCCGCTCCCCTCAAAAAAGTGTATAGGAGGATACCCATAGGTTGTATTTAACTACTTTGCAGTTTGAGCACCCTCACATTTTGGGGTCAGAAGAGGGTCCTGAATCAATCCCTACAGATACTGAGGGATATCTATTTATATTATTCTATGATGAAAGTAAATATAAATCAGAATCATTCTTAAAAGTTTGGCTTCTACTACATTCATGGCATAAATGAATCCAACTGTACTAGATAATATGTTAAAAAAAGCGAGAGCCTTCCCCTGGTTTTAAAAGAAGGTTAAAGTTTATTGTTCTTATGTTGTATTAAAATGTTTTTCTTTTATTGCAGTCTAGCCTTACTTAATACTATACAAACAGAGGCTGCAGTAAGGGATATTTAAAACAGGTCTAAAGAGGGATAGTTTAAGTGGATTTTAATTTAGTGGTGCCTAAACAATACAGCCATTAGCAGGAGATTGGATTCCTACTCCATGTAGAAGCTGTATGGATAGCAAGGGGAAAAATTAAAGAAAAGTAAATAAATAAAATAAAGAGGTGATACTTAAAACAGTCACCTTTTTTTTTTTTTTAATGGAAGGCTTGTGCCCATTAAGAAACTCTTCACATTAGCTGACCACAGATAACACTGCACAGTTCAATTGAAAATTTCAAATTGACCTCAATTCAACTTCAGTCAAATAAAACAGTAATTACAATCCAGGCAAGTCACACAGTTGACCACTATATTTTGCCGGGAGCCAACTCAAAACACCCACTACATCCACAGCTAGTTCTGCCTTCTGTCTAGGGCAGCAGGCCTGCCAGGCATCCAGAGAAAGATGGTCGGAAACCTCCCTTCTTGTGGCCTAGGAAGGGCAGTAGAATTCAGGGACTGAGTGTCAACAAGCGGTTTCCTCCTACAATCACAGGCCTGTAGGGTGCAGGAGTAAGCCCTAGGCATCCGGATGGAGCCAGCTCAGACTGGGGCAGGGGTCTCTATTCCTCTTCCTGAGGGAGCTCCTGCCCCTATTAGCTAGGTGAACCAGGACGAGTCACTTAGCATTTTTAAGTCTCATTTCTCCTAATTTGGGACTTGTATAATATCTTCTCAAGGGAATGCTGAAAAGGATCTCAATGAAAAAAAAAATGTGGTTAAGACCCTGCCCTATGGTAATCCCTTAATAAATAGTAGTAGCTATTGAAGCCAGATTTACAGATAGGTAGTTAGTGTAGTTAGGTAAATCGGGTCTAATATTGAGTAAGATAAATAAAATGGAGGCATTATGGAGAAAGGAGTCCAGGAAAGCAGAACAGCACTTACGGAAATGGAAATGTTAATGTCCCCAAGGCCAGGAGCTGAGCCCATCCTAAGGAAAAGTTAATGAAGCAGCTCCCAGCAAACAGGGAAGTGCTAATCAAAAGCTACCCCAGGCCCTTCCTGCCCAGATTACTCCTTCAGCCCACCTATCTCCCACCTTTTTGGCCTTTCCACCTGCATTCTATCACTGCAAGAGAAAGGGAAACAAAAGACATGAGTGTGGGAAAGCTGAAAGAAGACCTTAGCTATAAGAGGTAAGACCTTTCCCTTCCACGGATTCCACCTCTTGGGTCCCCTTCATTCAGGGAGAAGTCTTTTCTGCTGTCCTTTAATAAAGCTTCCACTTTCCACTCTAAACTTGCCTCGGGGTGCTTCTCTGGTGTTATACTTCAGCATTGGGGGAACCAAGGATTCGTCATGGGTGAACAGCAGTAACACTATTTTAAAGCGGTGGTTATTGCCATGGTTCTTGTGTGCGTATTTGGAATCACCACCAATCTGTTCACATTTCCACTAGGACTCCCACCTCGCAGCCGGGTAGATGCAGGCTGGGTCATTCATTTCCAGTATAGCCTTTAGGCAACTTTCCCCTGGGTGACTTCCCAGAAGGCAGGAAATCCCCTCTGGAAACGCGTGTTGTGTGTGTGGGTGGCGGGTACTTCTCTTTCTCCATGCCTAACCCAGTTTCTCATTCCTGAGCCCAAAGTAAGAGCAGCAGGGACTGTGCCCCAGGATGCAGCCAAGCTGTGCCAACTCCCTATCACGCTCCTGCGCTGGGCGCCTTCCTGCTTGAGCCACCGCCCCCTGGAGGACGAAATCGGAGCGCCTGACCCTGGGGTTCGAGGGTTGCAACTGCTGAGCTCTGCGCCCGCGGTCCCGCCCTCGGCTGGGTCCCGCCCGCGTCCGCGCCCGCAAGCAACCCTCCCTGCTCTTGCTGTCCAGCCACATCTTCCACAGCCTGCCACTCTGAGGGACCATGTCGAGGCTCAGCTGGGGATACGGCGAACACAACGGTGAGTGCTTTTCACTGATGGGAGGGGGCTCTGCGCGGGGCACCACCTAGGGGCCGGCGGATGCCCCCGCGCTGATCTCACACTTGCAAGAAACTTTTAGGTTCCTCTTTAAACTGAGCGGCGCTCCCTGGAGCCCAAAGCAGGAAGCGGAGGGCAGATTTCGTCCTGTGTAGACGGGAAAGCGTCTTTGGAGGGTGTTGGTAGTGGGGAGTGTTGGGGAGTCCAACACTGGGGACTTTGTCACGTGTCCCCAGATCCCAACTCTTCATATATATTCATTGCCTCGATATATATATATATATATATATATATATATTGATTTGAAAAGCCGAGAACTTCCCTAGTAATAACCACTTATCAATTAAGGCTTGGAGATTAGAAGTCAGAGTGAAATGAGGACAAGTTCGCTTTCGGTCTTTAAGCTGTTCACTTAGTAGAAACAAATCATGGAAAATCTTTGAAAAGCTCCTCAAGAAATTTTAATAACTTGCATGTTGACACTGAAGATTAAGTTGACTTCTTGGCTGTTACTATAAAATATTGCCACAGCAATTTTCAGTTGGTTGACTGCTACTTTTGGATTCTGTAATGAGGCTTCAAATTCTTTCTGGGAAATGAAGTTATACTTCGGGCTCTTCTCCATTCTTTCTGCCTCTTCTTCCACACTCATCCTTGCAGAGACCGAGGATTAGCATTATTGGAGTTATAATACAGTGATAAAATTTATTAATTGATAAGAGCGATAATGATAAGACATAAGACATGAACTTTTCTTTTGGTGCTGGTGCGTGCGGTACTCTCAATTGAACCCAGCGGCGCCCTCTACCATTGAGCTTCATCCTCAGCCCTTTTTACTTGAGACCTGGCCTCTTCTATTGCCCAGGCTGGCCTTGAACCTGTCATCCTCCTTCTGCCTCAACCTCCCAAGTAGCTGGCGTTACGGGCATGGTCCATTGGTCTGGCCACTTTTCTTCTTACATATCCTAAATTATCAGAAGTCAAACATTTTTCTTGTTTGTATGTTAAACTGAACTGATTGTTTCAAGCAATGATTTTTCCAAGTAACTGCAAAAATGACATCAAGAAAACCTTATAGTAGATAAGTGTCAAAATGAGGGCTATGAATAATAAAACTTTGATTAACATGCACATTATTGAACAGTACTGAAGAATAACTTTTCTAGAAAGTTTGCTTTCACAAAGAAACAGAAAAGTTTCATTTCAAACCATAGCTTGAGGTTATGAATATTGAAATATGAGCCTCAAAATGGAAGCCGATATAGAATTTTAATAATGAAAGAAAATTTAGGCAGATTTCTGAGGCCATAATTATAATCTTACATCTTGCTAATTTCTAATTTATGTTTTGAAAAAACAAACCTCACAAAACGAATTTCTTTTCATCTGTCTGCTTGAATCATTGTTATCATTGCTTAATAGTAAGTGGCAAAAGTGCCCACATTGTGATTTGGAAAAAGGGTATTTCAATCAATGGGTATTGATTATACTTTAAGATTAGAAAATTTTGTCTCTAATGAAGCTCATTTTCAGAAATTTAGAAAATTCATCTCAGTGAAGGCATTAACATGAAATGACTTTGTATTTTAGCTAGGATTTTTTTGGCCATTCCTGTCTTTTAGGTGCAGTGGTTTTCTGAGAACCACACCCTTAAGTAGATTAATTTGGCCGAATACCTCAGGACATGTTTTGAATCCTGACTAGGCAAATTTTGTTGCCTTTTTTTTTTTTTTTTTAATGTTAAGACATTGGCAAAACCAGTGATTTGAGGAGACTTAAGGAAACTTAAACTGGGAATAGCAGATTTGATAAGAGGGGACATTAGGAGTCTTAAGTCAGGGAAATGAACCAACAATACTAGTTAATAGATTATGCTGGATATGGTGCCTAATCACTAAGTCACATCCTCAGCACTTTTTTTTAAAATATTTTTTTTCGTCGCAGATGGACACAATATATTTATTTATTTATATTTATGTGGTGCTGAGGATCGAATCTAGTGCCTCACATGTGCAAGGTAGGTACTCTGCCACTGATCCACAACCCCAGCCCTCCTCAGCACTTTTTATTTTTTATTTTGAGTCAGGGTCTTGCTAAGTTGCTTAGGGCATCGCTAAGGTGCTGAGGCTGGCCTCAAACTTGTGATTCTCTTGCCTCAGCCTCCTGAGCTGCTGGGATTATAGGCACGCTCCACCGTGCCCAGCGAATATTGGATATTTGACACCATAGTTTTATTTTATTTTGGCTTGACTCTTCTAAAAATGGCTTTAGTTATAAAGGATTAGAAATAGGAGAGGAAAGGAATTGAGAGAGAAGCTCCTTGCTGATTGTAAAAAGAGTCAACAGCATGTTGTGACACTTGCATTGCATGTTTGCGATCTGATTCTCGTTGGGTTAACTCAACCTTACTGGTAGTGATGATAGAAAGCTCCGTCTACATTAAAAAAGAGGATGATATTGTGTACAGAAAGAGTACTCAGAAAAGTAAATAGAAGTGTTTAATAAATAAGGAAATAGATGCCTTTTCTGTAATATTATCTAAGGACTCTCAAATGCTCAAGTTGCTTTGAAGTCCCAAGTGTCAGGCAGCTCTTCAGTGTTTAGTTATGTTTAGGTATGTATTTATGCTATGACATTTTTGTACCTGAAGTATATGTGAAAGAAATAATATATACTTTCTCCTTCGCAATAATAAAAAGTAAAAAGCAGCATTAGTTTTACTGGTTCAAACTGTTGATGATTATGATATATTGCATTCCTTTAAATCTCACTCTTAAGTTTTATCATTTAAAGATAATTTTTGTAACGAATATCTAATAACTGTCATGCTATTTTGTTTCAATCAGTACTTGATTTCTAGAGAAAAAGTGGTTAGCAAAGTAGGGAAAAGCTTAGTCAGTAACCCTATGCCCTATTTACCTGGTGAGTAAATTGCATTCATAGTAGAGAGGAGAAAATAAGAGCCTGTGACCTGTACAGTGACTCACATCTGTAGAATGACTTAGAGCTTATGTGAGCTGCAACTTGGATGTTGATTTTGAGGGTCAGAACTTGATTGGAATCTCCCAGAGAAATGAAGAGGATAGATAAGGGAACAGCTGGTTTATCGACTTACTTCAATGTACCTATGAATATTTGATTTGTAAACTTGATGCAATTTTGACTTTTTCAATAGAGGATCAGGATGACAGTTGTCCCTTGTGTTGGAATTAAAATGTAGCATTGGCAAAGAAACCCCTGAGGGACCTTCTGAAGTGTGAAAAAGAGAAATAAACTGTGACCTGACTATTGCAGATAATCAACAATACTGTATTTCCTGACATGGGTACAGCCATTTTATTGGGATTATTGTATATGAAAGATTATGTAGGTTCTTAGTCTGCTTGTTGCATATTACAGCTAGTTAAGCTGAGACCTGGATGATACTAAAATATACCAGCAAGTGGTAGAAAAAAGAAGAAAATGAAGAAAATTCTTGAGGATGACACCCTTTCCTTTTTTGCTTAGATTTCTCAGCAACTTTGACTCTTTCCACTCTGTAAACTTGTTGACCTCTGGAGCAACCAGAGCACATTCTTGAATCTAAGACTGAATCTCTTTGTTTTTGGTGGTGAATTGTACTGTTGTTTTTAGTTTGATTTATGAGTACCTTTGGAAAGTACTTTAAAAAAATTTACATGTTCTTTTATGTACAAAGGGTAATTGATTCTGGAAAGGACTTTAGGCAAACCAGGTGTTTTCCAAACCCATTCAAAAATAATCTTGTTTTAAAAATTAGATGCTAAATTCCTGAGAATGAGGATATTATTAATTGTTTAATCTCAGACATACTGCATTGCACTTAACAAATGTTTATTGAATCAAAGAACTTAGTCCTTTTCTTTGGGATTTTTATATTTAAGGTCCTATTCACTGGAATGAATTTTTCCCCATTGCTGATGGTGATCAGCAATCTCCAATTGAGATTAAAACCAAAGAAGTAAAATATGACTCTTCACTCCGACCTCTTAGTATCAAGTATGATCCCAGCTCAGCTAAAATCATCAGTAATAGTGGCCACTCCTTCAGCGTTGACTTTGATGACACAGAAGACAAATCAGGTTGGCTTTTTACCTTTTTCTTTTTGGTGGGAAACGAGGAATTTGAACAATTAGACTTTACTTTCTTCTCTTTCATATTTTATTTATGTTAGACCTGGAATTTGCCAGATAGAAGCATATCTTGTGTCTTCATGTGAATTGAGATGTCCTGTTATGTATATGGACCTTATGATAATGTTACTTTAAAATGACATAAAGAATGTTCAGAAAAAAATATGGTGAATGTAATTTTAAGTTGACTGTATCTTACTATGACTTCATTTAGCATTTATCACTATGAAAATATAGAAGTTTAATAGCATTTCATAATAATTTTTCTTTTCTTTCTTTTTTTTTGGGGGGGGGCTACTGGGGATTGAACTCAGGGACACTCAACCATTGAGCCACATCCCCAGCCCTATTTTGTATTTTATTTAGAGACAGGGTCTTGCTACATTGCTTAGCACCTCACTGTTGTTGCCTAGGCTGACTTTGAATTCGTGATCTTTCTGTCTCAGTCTCCCGAGCCACTGGCATTACAGGTATGAGCCATTGGCATTACAGGTGTGAGGCACTGCACCTGTCTCATAAATAATTTTTAATTTGTTTTAATAGAAAAAACATTTCTACAGTATCATAATCTCTCATTAAAATTATAAAAGTAATCTATACTCGTAGTAAACAAATAATAACAAATAGAAATAATACAGAATTTTATGATGAAAACTGTCTGAATTTAACAACTACTGATTCTTCTGTATTTTTTAACTATGTAGCTGTGCATATAGATGTGCATATTTTTTACCTTTTCTTTTTAACAATAAACTTGGACTATTGTTTTATTGCTTGGAACATGTTTCCCTATTTGAAAAAAAAAGGTATGGGCATCTTGCCAAATCATTCATATATATATGATATGAATGAATGAATATGGTACCAGGGATTGAACCCAGGGGTGCTTAACCACTGAGCCACATCACCAACCCTTTTTTATATTTTATTTAGAGATAGGGTCTCGCTGATTTGCTTAGGGCCTTGCTAAGTTTCTGAGGCTGGCTTTGAACTCGAGATTCTCCTGCCTCAGCCTCCTGAGCTGCTGGAATTATAGGCATGTGCCACTGTGCCCAGCTTCCAAATCTATATATATATATATTTAGATCCAAAGAAATCCATCAATGAATTGTACCAGCTGTTCTTGTATCATAATTGATACACCATTTTCCTACCAATGAACATAGAATAGGAAAGAAAAATACAAGTTTAATGTTTTAAAAAAAGGAGGCTGGGATTGTGCCTTAGTAATAGAGCTCTCACTTAGCACGTGAGAGGTCCTGAGTTCGATCCTCAACATCACATAAAAATAAATAAATAAAATAAAGGTATTGTGTCCAACCACAACTAAAAATAAATATTAAAAAAAAGATAAAAAAGAAAGGAATATTTGCTGGGTATGGTGGTGCATGCCTGAAATCCCAGAAACTCAGAAGGCTGAGGCAGGAGGATCACAAGTTCGAGGCCAGCCTCAGCAACATAGTGGGGCCCTAAGAAACTTAGTGAAAACTTGTCTCGAAATAGAAAATAAAAAGTTCTGGGGATGTGGCTCAATGGTAAAGCACCTCTAGGTTCAATCCCCATCATTCATTCATAAATAAATATTAAAAAAGGAATATATGAAACATCTATTCTTACTAGTATTTTGCTAGGACTTGGAATAAAAGTCTTGTTTGATTCATTCATGGGATGACATCTGTCATAATGTGAATAAATAGTGGACCCATCAAATAGAACTTTAGTCATTTGTTAATTTATTGACTAAATGAAGAGGAAAGGAATATTACTCTGAATTCTACTAGTCAACAAACTAGTCATGAAGTCTTCCCCATAGTCCTTGGAGGGCTTGCTTGGCTGGGCAGATGCACACTCATGGTTAACCTACAGGCAACCACCCTTTGAAATTTTAATAGATCTTTAAAAGGAGGACAGGTGGATTTGAAATTCTTTAGGGAGAATTCCTACTGGAAATAGTAGTCTGATGAGGAAATGATAATCTCATGAGGAAAGACAGGACTGTTCTTGTTCCATCTACTGGTCTTTCTGGACTCAGTATCTCACCTCTTTGGGAATCTTACCTGACTGGCCCTGTCACCTCTGCTAGGGTTCCCATGGCATCCTGGGCTGTCCCAGTCACAGAATTTTCCACACCATGTCATAAATGCCAGGTTGGTGTCTGTCTTTCCCCTGAGCCAAAGACTCCTCATGGGTAGTAGCCATGAATGGATTATTTATGACATTTAGCTCTGGTGTCTTAATTTCTGTAGACCCCTTATATGAGTGTATCATCTGGAATGGATTTTTTTTTTTTACAAAATTTTGAATGAAAGAGTAAATGAACTGCACATGCCATTTGGAGAAATGATATTTATAAGCATAAAATAGAAACAAGAATATTCACTTGCTTATCTAGGCTGGAAAGTAGGATGAATAATTTGACACTTGGAAACATGAGCTCATTCTCATTAAAAGAACTTTTTTTTGCCATTATTAATTTTGTACCATAATTTAGCTGTTTTGTTATGTCAAAGTTGGCGTTTAATGATATTTATATTTGATATTTCCACTCTCTTTTTCCTGCCCTGCATTTCTTTGGAAGACCTCTGCTCCAAGAGACTGGTCTTCTCCACCATTAGGCATTTGCTAATCATAATTCCAGGTTGGACATTATATTTGAAACACTCAAATGGGAAGTTTAAATATGTAGTGTGTAAGGCAATCTTTGTTGTTTAATTGGGCAGAGCTGTGTTAATCTGATTTTAAACCCTGGACTCAGAGCAGGCTTTCCCCAGATCAGCCATTATTCTTGGATGTCTCCGGACCAGTGTGTGTTTTTTGTATCACTTTCTTTCTTCAGAGCCAGCTTGCTTGCATCTTATCCCAAAGTCAATTCCACATTGATTATTCAGACTCTCTAATCTGCCTTTTATCTATGAAGGAATGACTTTTTCATTCAGCTCAGGTTTTATTATGCAACAACAAGGAAAAAAAGAACAATAGAGCTGTTGATTTCTTTTCCTTTGGAATGTCATTTCATCCTCAATCGATGCAGACTATGGTATCACTCAGGGAAACAAGCTTTTACATTGACTTTGCAAATCATGTTGAAACTGCTTAAAGACAAATCAAATATTTTATTCATTTATTTATCTACTCTTCATTGTGCCTCTCCTCTGTAATAGTTACTATGCCAGGTGATAGGCACAGCAGGGACCCAGACAATGCCCTCCTAAACACTGCCCAGTGGGAGAAGAAGCAGTGAAATTATTCTGTTTTTAAAAGAGTAATAGGGAAGTGATCCCAGAGTCTAATCTCTCTCTCTCTCTCTCTCTCTCTTTTTTGTATCTTTCAGAGTGTTTTTAAAGTAGCCATTTTTATGTATTGTAAAAAACCTGGATCCAAATACTTCTTATATAAGGTGGATCATTCTTTTTTTTTTTTTTTAAAGAGAGAGAGAGAGAGAGAGAGAGAGAGAGAATTTTTTTCAATATTTATTTTTAGTTTTTCGGCGGACACAACATCTTTGTTTGTATGTGGTGCTGAGGATCGAACCCAGGCCGCACGCATGCCAGGTGAACATGCTACCGCTTGAGCCACATCCCCAGCCCGAGGTGGATCATTCTTAACAAATTTTGAGAATATACACATATATACATGCTCTCAAATGCCATATATACATATATGTGTATATATGGGTGTGTATGTGTGTGTGTGTGTGTGTGTGTGTGTGTGTGTGTGTGTATGTGTATAGCATCTCTGAAGAGGAGGGTAATTTAAATCAAACTGTTGTTAAGTTTGTACCTCACCATCTAACACTTAATTTTGTTGGATGTTGATGGAAGTTTAGAGTTTAGTGATGCTGTGGTATATTGCGCATCTAGTGCTTCCTTTCCTCTCAGTATGAAAGGCAGTGATAAGTGCCTTGATTCAGTTCTTTATTTTTGTGGCAACATTAGAGGAAGCCCATTACTATTTCCAGTTTTTATTTTATTTTTTTTAAGAGAGAGAGAGAGAGAGAGAATTTTTTAATATATATATATTTTAGTTTTTGGTGGACACAACATCTTTATTTGTTTGTGGTGCTGAGGATCGAACCCAGCACCCCTTGCATGCCAGGCGAGCGCGCTACCGCTTGAGCCACATTCCCAGCCCTATTTCCAGTTTTTAGATGTGGAAGCTGAAGCTTGGAAGTTAGAGTTTGTCCAAGATCACACAGTGATAGGGAGTGTGAGCCCTCATCTTCTACTTGTAGACACCTGTGTCCTAGCCATACAAATGCCCTGCTTTACCAAGCTTCAACTAGACCTTTCTGCATGTCTTGCCTTATTCAAAGAGGCTGGGTTGCCTTTCCTTAAGTGATATTTTGTCTTTCAGAATTCTGAATCTTTTTTACTTTCCAACCAATCTGTCTGTTGTGATTTCCCCGGTGTTCCTTAACGATCAGCACTGTATTCTGACTCCTCATAAACCTAAAATTGTATTCCTGTCAGTAAACATAATGACACATTTGTAAAAATATTCCTTAGATGACTTGAACATGTTGAGTAATTCAGGGAGATGTGGGGCATGTCAGTATGCATAAAATCGTTTCCTTGCTAACCACTTGAAATGTGTTGGTTTTTAGTCCTGCGTGGGGGTCCTCTCACCGGAAGCTACAGGTTGCGACAGTTCCACCTTCACTGGGGGTCTGCTGATGATCATGGCTCTGAGCACATGGTAGATGGGGTGAAGTATGCTGCAGAGGTAAGCCATTGGACACATCTGGGTCATTAAGGGTTTTTCTAAGTGATGCGATTTAAGGGTCATGAGGGCCAGTTCTTTGACTTCACGTAGATCCTGAGCCAATTAGGTATCTCAGTGTCTGAAACGAGTTGTTCACTCATTAGGAGAGTTTATTGACATGAGAGCTTCCAATGTGGCCTGTCTGACCCTTAAACTAACCATGAGAGTTTAAAGTTATATACTTCTGTTTTAGAAATGAATAAACTGGAGACTTGTAAACATTGAGTGGGTTTAAACCCTGTCTGATAACAAATTCAAATCTATTTTTTCTCTTGCATCTTCTGAAAGGTCAATGAGAAGAGAGAAAAAGAAACATTTGTGTTAGGTCCATCTGTATACATATTTGATCCAGGCACAAATATACATGACTACACAAAGCCCCTATTAATCAGGTTAATAAATGACAGAGTTTCACTTTGGAAAAAAAAATCATAAAGACATAAACTTTCCTAAACTCTACGTCACCTCCACATTTATAGATGTAAAATGGAATCTGTTAATTATTCAGGTCACTGGTAAAGCATAACACCAAAATAAAGAATTCATTACTGTGATTCTTTTTCACTGAAACGTTACTTCTGTTTTGTTATATTAGTAGTCATTAATGATACTTCACTTTTTCTAATCCTCTGGCTAAAGGACAAAGCACAATATGCCTCAAGTTTTAATATGATTAAATGTTGCTAATACTAACTTTCCCATGAGATGAAGTGAATTACTACATGACTCAACCAAAACCACTCAACTGAAACTAATTTGGTTTTTGCGTCTTCTAGGCAGGGTTACCAGATGAATAAAAATTTTCTTCATTTTCTCATGGTTTCTGAACTACAGAGTTTAGATGCCCCTCTATAGCCCTGCTGTATGGAAAAATCCAGCAAACTGAACTTCTTTCTAGTTTTATTTTTCTATTAACATGTACAGCTGTCCTTGGAGGCTATCATCCAAAATGTCTGTTTTGCCAACTAAATCACTTTTATCTGGGGTGAAGTGCCTTAGGGTATGGGACTTGCTCTGGCTACAGATGTGTGTGCAGAGTATTCTATGATGGTGAACAAAAGACGATGAGAAGGTAGAAAGGATGACTCCTGCATCTGTGGTGTCTCCATTTATATCATTTACTGAAGAGTTTTCATGTTTCCTTTCTGAAGTTTTGTGTTCTAAATTTAATGGTTGTTCTAAATCTTAAAATCTCTGTGGAGATGAAGAGGTGGCTGCTTTGGATCACTGGTCTCTTAACTTTCCCTAGCAACTCAGTAAGATCGGTCACCTTTATGGTCATATCTTGTACTTTCACAAACTTCCATGTGGATTCTCAGAGAGATTTACTGCCAGTTGGCAAGTCGTTATCTGAAAAGGGCTTCCTGACCTGAAATTGGTCACATGCTCAGAGTCCTCGCCTATAGATCAGGGGCCATCTTTATAGATAAAACTTTGACTGGAATTTCATGCTGTTCTTTAATCCATACTTAAGGCTGTTTCCTACTTCACAGGTTCATATATTCAGTCCTTCATTCACTACGTAAGAATTCATCGAGAGCCAGCCATGTCCTCTTGCACAGTTTATTTGTGCTTGTCTGAGGGGAGGGCTTGCAAGAGGAAGGGGTGCCACAAATTCATTACCATGCAGCCTAACCCAGACTGTGGGTCAGAGAACCCTGCCCTGTGGAAGAGGCCTTTAACCCTGAAACCTGCAGCATGTGAAGGAGTGAACCAGGCAAAGGGAGAGACAGCAGTGGTCCTCAAGGGAATCATGTGTGAGAACCAGAGGTGGGAAGAGCTTCACACTTTTGAAAACCAGAATGGCCTGTGTGGCCAGAGCTTGGAGAATGAAGGGGAGAGATGTCAGAAGCATAACTGGAGACTCTGGGAAGGGCCTGAGCTTACTGAGTCCTGGTGAGGATTATGAACTTTATTCTAGGTGCATCAGGAAGCCTCTGGATGGCTTTGAATTGGAATGTGATCGTCTTTGCATTTCAGAAATGTCATTTAAAGTGACAGTTGTCTCTTGGGTTGAACAGGAGTGGCTAAAGGAAGCCCTGAGGAGGCTTTTGGGAAGTTTCAGGTAACAGAAGATAGTATAGGTGGAGAGCTGCCTAGCTGGAACAGCAACTCTAGTGGGATTTGTTGATTTGATTGGGTTTCTGGGTGAGCAAGAGGAGAAGTCCATGTCTTCATTTGAGGTAAGAATTTGCTGAGAGAAAGAAGTTTGGGTAAGACCTCAGGTTTGGTGGATGGCAGAAGTAGGCAATAAACAAGTTAACAAATTTGGAAAAAAAAAAAACTGATAGGTGGTAAATTCTTTGCCAGTGTTATCAGGTGATCTGGTAGAGTAACTGAAGGGTTAGGAAAGACCTCTTTGAGGTGACACGTGAATCGGGACTGAGTGACAAGAAAATCATGGGAAAATCTGGAGAGAGGAAATGAGAACAGCAGTGCAAGGGGTCTTAGGCAGGAACGATGTTGGCATGTTGAAGAAGAGAAAGACACTGACCTATAGGATTGGAATTAGATGAAGATATGGGCTGTGTACCAGAGACATAGGTACAGGCCATGTTCATCTGTTGGTGTTGAGCATGGTGAGCAGTGTGGAGTTAATGTAGCGGGAAGAAGACAGTGGAAGATTTTGAGTGGGAGAGTGGCATGTTCTGCTATTTATTTATTTCAGTACCATGGAAAGAACCTAGAAGGCTTTATCACAAGGCTCCATCCCCAACCCTTTTTATTTCTTGAGACAGCCTCTCTAAATTGCCAGGCTGACCTCGAACTTGTGATCCTCCTACCTTTGTCTCCCATGTCGCTGGGATTACAGGTGTGAACACCACACCTAACTTTGCTTCATATTTATAATATATAACTGCCATGTGGTGGAGAGGTTGTTGTGGGCAAGTGTTGGAACATGGAGACAAATTAGAAGATTATGGACATAGTTCAAGTGAGCGGTGATGGTAATTTGGGCTGTGGGGTGGTGGAGATGCAGACAACTGAGACATCCATGAAATGTGTGGGTGGTAAAGTCAATGGGACTTGCCTAGGAAAAGGAAGGACACAAAGGTGTCTAGAAATATTCTAAGATTTTTGACTTGAGTAACCTGGAGGATGGTTGTGCCATTCACAGTGATAGGCAAGTCCAGTGGGAGCAGTTTCCATAGAGGAATGACCTTTCAATTTTGCACATGTTAAGTTTCAGGTGCCTGTTAGTTATTCTAGGCTCATGTTCATGTTGTTCATGGATACAAACCTGGAGTTTGATGAAGAGGTCAGGGCTGGAGATGGTGGCATTTGGGATTTAGGTTTAAAAGAATTCCTTTGTGTTCTAGAAATGATTCTAAGGTGTTAATTGTCTTTTTTTTTCTAGCACTTTTTACTTAATTTCATGACTATCATTAGTTGTCCCTGGGGGTGCGCCCTTGAAGGGGATAGCGGGACCCCCACCTCTTTCTCTTTTTTGCTTCCTGGTGATGAGGTGAGCAGTTTTGCTCTGACATATGCTCCCGCCATGGTGTGCTACCTCACTGCAGACCCAAAAGCAAGGGACCAACACATTAGGGACTGGAACCTCCAAAACTGTGAGCTGAAATAAACCTTTTCTCATTATCAGTTGATTATCTCAGGTCAGATAGAAAACTGACTAACAAAATAATATATAATAAGCATAATATATATGTTGTTAAAAGTAAAACTATGATTTCTACATTCCTGGCAGATTTTTGGAATCATATTTGGCAGGGTATTTTACATATCTCTAATAGGCAGTTCTAAAATACTGAAGTTGGATCATATTGTCCTTTAGAAATTATTTTTCAGTGGGGAAGAATCTTATTCCCATTGTTGCAGTGGCTACCACGCCTTCTTATTATTTAGCTCAAATCACTGCTGCTGTTATTGTTAGTCAGGAATTGTGAGTTTGCTATTTGATTGCTTGAGGGTTCGTTCAAATAAAAATGTTGATACAAGTGACGTCAGTTTCTCTTTGAAGGTATTGCTGCCAGTTAAGCAAGTGTGTGGGTGAGAGGAGGACTTGTTTTATTTATTTAAAAAAATATTTTCTTGCACTAGTTGCCCACCTTTTTACATATAGTTGTTGTTACTTAGTTAGCAGAAGGATGACTACCTACAGGACATCATATATCTCAATCTATACACTCATTTTCTATTCAGATGTAGTTGTGACCCTTGGGTGTCATTTCCTACTAAGTGAGCAGATGTATTGGCATGGAGCCATTTTAAACAACTCCAGCATCCTTATCAGCCCCTCCCGGAGAGTGGAATGTCTTTCTCTCATATGAGCCACGTGGATCTTGTTTCCTCCTCCAGTTGTTTCAAGTTTCTGTCCTCCCCCAACTTTCTCAGAGAAACTTGGAACATACCACCACAGGCGTCCACCTTTATATTTTCCAAATAGAAATCCCACAATTGTATCTGATTATGTGTGGATGGTGAATTGTTTTATGATTTTATAGCTGACTAGTTATGATAATAATTATCTAATCCTGCAACCCCTTCATATTAGTTGTCTGTACAATATAGAGATATAATTGAAGGAAGGGATAAAAATATGCATTGGAACATATTAAGATTTCGATCTAACACCAGCTGACAGGGTGTTTTGGGCATTAAGGCTTGCATAAGCATTTCTTTCCTGATGTGCCAAAGGATTCACCTGGAGTTCTTATCTAGAGGCGGTCCTTCATATCAGGTCCTTGGACAACAAGGCTTGGCCTTCACCATTTATGACCATTGCTAAATCTTTTGGGTGTGTCACATTGCCCTTTGGTTTCTCTCATAGTTTGCCTCTCTCTCAACCAGGACTGATGACTCTTCCAAAATTGATTTTCTACTTTATTGTTATTCTGGAGTGTCTCCCACTTCCTTGTGTATTTGGGGTAATTCCTGGCTTCCTTGGTAGAACATTTAGGTCTCCTTTGGATTTTGCATAAGTTCACTTCCATGAACTCCTCTTCCTGCTCTTCTTCCAGGTCCCTTGAACTCCTCTTCCTGCTCTTCTTCCCCTTCCTCCCACCACCTAGTAACACCAGCTGCCTTTCATTTTCATCCTCAAACACTTTTGGTTCCTAGACCCAAGGCCTCTTTTTCACCATTAAAACTTGCTCTCATCAAAGGATCTGAACATATTTATATAAAGTAATAAATGCATAAAAATAAGAAAGTGAGGCAATGAATATGTCAATTAGTTTGATTTAGTTATTGCATATTGTATACCTACATTGAAACATAACATCATTTCCTGTATACATATGTAATTATCATTTGTCCATTAAAAACAATCTAATAATAAAAATATGTGAATTCTTCTTAAAATAGTTTCTCATAAGGACAAAGCTATCAAAAATGTAAAGTTACAGTAATAAACATCTGACTGGTAATTTTCAAGAGCAACTGCATTGTCCTTGGTAACAGGAATGTCCCTGAAAACCTGCTGTGTAGGAAGTTGACTTCTCCACCCAGTTATGGAGTCCAGGTTTCCTTGATGGACCCTGCTGTCAGCTGGGATCTGATCTAAGGCAGCTTCATTGCAATCCCATCAGTGGAAGACACAGAGATGCCTCAAGTCACTAGGGGCACTGGTTGGAATTTGCTAGAGCTAGAGAGATTGGACAGGATGCTCAGGGCATTGTAAATAGTAACTACATTGCAAATAGCTACTCAGGAGGCTGAGACAGGATGGTCACAAGTTTGGGCAACTTAGTGGGACCCTGTCTCTAAGTAAAAAGGGATGGGGATGTAGCTCAGTGGTACAGCACTTGCCTAGTAGGTGTGGGACCCTGGGTTCAATCCCTAGTATTAGAAAACAAAAAGAGTATACTACAAACTAGTTAAACGATCATATCCTTCATTGCTGTCCTTGAGTTTTTGAATAAGTCAAAAGGAGGATTGTGTCCAAGTTTTTTGTGAAGGATATATTATATTTATGAGTGTACAGCACCAGAACACGTGTATCAATGTTTATTTGCATTTACATTTTTCAGGATGTTTAAAAAAACATTTGACCTGTGTTGTGTCTCTCCCTTTCAGCTCCATGTTGTCCACTGGAATTCAGACAAATACCCCAGCTTTGTTGAGGCAGCTCATGAGCCAGATGGACTAGCTGTCCTGGGAGTATTTTTACAGGTGAGAATCCACTGATTTCATTTTAAAAAAGAAGCTATGTTAGATAAAGAGCTTCAGTCATGGAGTGTACATTCGGCTGTTTTTTCACAGTAGACCTGTTCTAGGTCTAGTATTTTCCTTTGGAAGTGAATGCTAAGAAATTAAATATTCATGTAGGAGCATCGTCTTGTGATTCTTCTGATTGTCCATTTATAATTTTCATGTGAGTAGCAACAGCAGTATTAAGAAGAAGAAGAATAGCAGTAGAAATAACAACTGAGACCCTTCAAAGAAGACCTTTGTTCTAGGATCTTCCTGCTTCCTGATTTCAGTATTTAGAGATATAGGACAGAAAAAAAGTTCAAGCCCATAATTTTTGAAGCACTTTTTTTGACACAATGACATGTTGTCTTCAACCAACTGAACAACTTTTAAAGATGTTTTGTTGTATTTCCCTTTGTCTAACCTTCCCATAGGGACAGGTGAGGACTGTTATCCTCATACCTGGGGTGGCGTGGGCCTCTCAACTCCACTGCTACCACTGTCTTATAGATTGAGCTGTTTTGCCACATTCTCTGAGTGATGTTGTAACTCATGAAACTGGGATTGGGGGCTGGACATGAGGCAGAGGTGGGAAGTGCCACGGATAGTGGTAGGTTCTTCTTTTTGGCCACCAAGAATGAGTAGTGGCAGCAGGATCCAGGTGGGGAAAAGAACGCAGTTTAATCCTGAAGGGTTTAAAACCTTTGGGTAGAGTCAGAACACCCATAATAATGAAAATGTTTGTATTTATGTATTTATGATGCCTCTGCTTCTGAGGACCTCAAGTCATTTTTAGGACCTTGATTTGGGACCTCAAGTCGTTTTTAGGCTAGATGTGAGAGATGTTTTTTGTCTAATACTTTGATACCATAGTCAGTTTGGATTGAAGGTCTGAATATCACCATCTGGATTAATAGTGCAGGTGTTTTAAGAGTTTTTCCTAAGCACGGTTTCTTTTAAGTTAACCTATGTGAAAAACATTCATTAGGGGAAGTGGGGGGTGGGGGAAGAGGAGTGTTGATACCAGTTTTGAGACCAAAGTGAAAAGTTCAGTATAGGAACCCTGTAATACAATATTATCATTCAGATTCTTCTGGCATGATAAGGCTATCAGAAGAGAACCTTTATTCTAGAACAATCACTGTATCTTCTGTGCTGGTGTAGATTTTCAGAAATTAATTTAAAAACAGTTGATTGAAATGGAAAGATCAGACTTTATTTGCTACTGTAACCATTTCTTTTAAAATTCGTATTTTCAGATTGGTGAACACAATTCCCAACTGCAAAAGATTACTGACATTTTGGATTCCATTAAAGAAAAGGTGAAACGAATTACTCGGTAGTTATGACTGATGTCTTTTTCCTTCTGTCTTTAATTCTCTCATCTTTCTTCAAAGACTTAAACATTGGACAGAGTATATGCTGCCTGTTTTGAAGCAAGTTTGCAACATTCTTAACTAAGCAAGCAGAAGTAACTTAGTATCACTTATCTTTTGAAAATAACCAAGGGTCTTACATTATCTAAGATAATCACTAATAAATCTTTTTATACAAATTTACTTTCTGGTATTATAGTTTTACAAAATACGTCTTGATTTGTGAAATATTTTAAAGACCACTTATATAAAAACAAATCTTGTGCTTCTGAAATAAATCTATATGATATGTTATTTAAGATGAAGCAGTTTTTTTTTTTTAAGATACTAAAGGTAGATTCTGAATAACTCCATAGTATTTAATTGGATGTGTGTGTGTGTGTGTGTGTGTGTGTGTGTGTGTGTGTGTGTATAAAGCTCTTCCATGGTAATTTGTGGGAATTCTCTGTTTGTCCAGGGCAAACAAACTCGATTCACAAATTTTGACCCATTATCTCTGCTTCCACCCTCCTGGGACTACTGGACATATCCTGGTTCTCTGACTGTTCCACCTCTTCTTGAGAGTGTCACATGGATTGTTTTAAAACAACCCATAAATATCAGCTCTCAACAGGTATGTAGCTTCTCTCAGGTTGATGTTGATTCACTCAGGAAATTTGACCACTGAGCCACATCTTCAGCCCTACTCTGTATTTTATTTAAAGACAGGATTTCACTGAGTTGCTTAGTGCCTTGCTTTTGCTGAGGCTGGCTTTGAATTCGAGATCCTCCTGCCTCAGCCTCCTGAGCAGCTGGGATTACAGGCGTGCACCACTGTGCCTGGCTTGTGACCCTTTCTTATTTGATCTTCTATGATTTGATGATCTCTTTCCAATCTCTTAGAAATGTAAGGCACATAAAGAAGCCCATAAGAGTGAAGCATTGTTGTGAATGCTAGCTTTGCTTTTGTTTGCTTTGAGACATGAATAGACTGGGATACAAACAGGAAAATCAGGAGAGACGCCACATAGAAGGCGACATTCTCATTTCTGATCTCAGTCCTTACACTGCTTCTTCCACAGATTTCAGAGTAAACACTGAGAAGTGGCATCACATACTTAGAAATGTGTGCCTGCTAAGTTTAAGAAGTGGTCTTATGGTACACTTGAGAATCCAAGAGGGACAGCTATAGCTCATACTACTTATGGTGCTTACCCAGCAAGTGTGAGGCCCTGGGTTCAATCCTCAGAACTAGAAAAAAAAAAAAAAGAAAAAGTTGGTTTTGATTTTTGTTAACAAAACGTTGGTAGGGTTGCCTGAGTGGCTTCTAAGCATTTGCTAAGAAATTGTGGGTTGGTCACCTATGGCCTTCCTGTGAAGACATCTACTCATTTTTCTTTAATTAATTAATTATTTGCAATGCTGGGGATCAAACCCAGGACCTTGGGCATGCTAGGTAAGCACTTGACTGCTGAGTTATGGCTCAGTCCCTTCATCTTTCTGTTAAATGCTTACTGGACACCCACATAAGGCCAAGCATTCTTTCAGGCTCTGGATGTCATTAGTGCCCAGAAACCACTTAAACTTTAAAGGTGTGACTGACGTGTATTCTGGGATGTGGTCTCTTTAGTAGGTTTTTTTGTTATGTTGTCCTTTTTGAATTAGGTTCTACAGTGTCTTAGTAGGAATATAATTTATTTTATTTTTGCAGCTAATTAAATACTTCTTCCTGTTCCTGACTTGCTCTCCTACCTAGCTGTTTATTCCCACAGCCACCCCCATCAGACTAGGACTGGTTCACCTTCACCAGGTTCTTTTTAGGCAGCATTTCCCCTTGGGAACACATCTAACTTCCTGTTGGGTATTCTTCCTCATTGACCTCATCTTTAGGATTACAGACAAATAATACCTCGGTGTATACATGTTAAAACATTTTATTGCAGTCTGGATAGAATCCAGACCTTGATTGATATGAAAATTCCTGTGAAATTTTTTCATCATTGTATCATGAGAAAAGTGACCTGCTGCTGATTTAGTGTCCTCATTAAAGGGGTTTGTTTCTCTCCCTTGACATGCTAAACTGCTTACTTTCACATTCCTTTATTAAATTTAAACAATTTAATAATAAGAGTTAATTATAATATCAAGTTATCGAAAACAAAGAGGCTCATATTTTCCTTTATATTTCAAGGCTGTCTCTATTTCTTAAAAACACTTGGAAAATACTTTTTTTTTGTTTCTTGCTTTTATTTTTTTCAACACACTAGTGATTTTGAAGAGAATATATCATAATATATAATTCCTTAGAAAGAATGAAGTTAAACTTAGTAAAAACAACTCCCTGCAAGTTTAGAAATTATAACCACATGGCCATGGATTCATGACTGTCTCATTTGAGGCTTATTGAATTAATATTATTGATGTGGTTTTTATGCAAGAGAGTATATTAAAAATAGCTTCATTTTAGAGCTCTAGTGTAATGGGTAGTACACTTTGAAAAATTAACTTACATTGACTATAGCAGGAGCACTTTCATGAGTTTTGATTTTTAACCAGAATGAGAAATTGTTTGGCTATAATTCCAGTTATTATATTGATAATATTATGATGGTTTTAAGAGCTAAAGAATGAAGCTAAAGATATTTAAAACATCCAGTCCAGTTCTAAATATGAGAAAAAGCATTAAGCAAAGCTCAACTGAGGAAAATTGTATAAATATTTAATTAGGACTCTTCAAGGGATGCCTACGGAGAGCGGGTGACTGAATGTAATGTTTCCTACATAGGATTCTGAAACAGAAAGGCATTAGATCAAAACAAAGAACACCTGAATAAGGGAAGGACATTAGATAACATATATTTAATATTGCTCATTAATTATGGAGAAAGTACCACACTAACATAAAATGTGAATAATAGGGGAAATTCAGTGTGAGGTATGTTGGAAATATTAGTAATAGCTTGCAGTAATTTTTATAAATGTAAGATTGTCCTGAAACAGTTTATTCTAAAAATGGAAAATATGCAGTTTTTTTTTAAATTTTAAAAACAAATTTTTTAAAAAAATTTTTTTTGGTAAAATTATTTAGTTTTTTTTAGCTCTTTTATATAAGTTAAGTTGAAAAATCTTATATCACTGAGCTATCAATTTCCAAAAGATAATTTTTAATCTCAATTTTGGCAGCTTTTTCTCTTTAAAGTCACTGGGAAATATTGCCTTTATTCATTTTCCAATTCTGTCATGCAATGTCACTAGCTGTGAAGAATAAATCCTCTTAAGTTGACGCCAGATTTTTTTTTCTAGGATTTTCTAATGCTATTTCTTAGCAAGTCACTGTTTGACCTAAAGGGAAAATAAGATATTTTTTATTTTCTTTTTCTTGATTCCAATCCATTTTTCTTCCTCAGAGTCACCCAGTGAGCACTAAACTCTTGATTTAACTGCCATGCCAGTGGGCAGATATACTGTTTTCTAATACTTTTAATAACAGATCTGTCATTTTCTTTGGGAGGCTGACTTTTATTGCCAAATCTCTTTGAGTTCACTTAAATCATCTGAATTGATATACTCAGCTGCTCAAATTCAGTGTGCAGAATACTCCTTTAAAATAATCCTTTTTTAAATTATGACATTATCTGTACATTAAGGAACTCACAAATTTTAAGTATGTGGTTGCTGATTTTGGTGATCATTTGCAACCATGCAACAACCACCACGATCAAGAGAGAATAGCTGTCTTATTTTCATAGTCCCAAGCAACCACTGGCATGCTATCACTAGAATTTTGCATTTTCTTGAAATTTGTTTAAATGAATCATGTAGTAAGTAGATTTTGTGTTTGATTTCTTTTGCTTAGCATAATATTTAGGTTCACCCATTTTATTTATTTATTTATTTATTTGGTACTGGGGATCAAACTCAGGGGCACTTGACAATGAGATACATCCTCAGCCCAATTTTGTATTTTATTTAGAGACAGAATCTCAGTGAGTTGCTTAGCATGTTGCTTTTTGTTGAGGCTGGCTTTGAACTCATGATCCTCCTGCCTCAGCATCCTGAGCAGTTAGGATGATAGGCATGCGCCACTGTGTCCAGCCATTTCTTTTATTTTTTTTGCCTATTTATATTCCATGGTATGGTTATACCACATTAAAAAATCTATTTAGCAATTGAGACATTTAGGTTATTTCTAGTTTATGGCTATTATGTGAGTAATATTTTGATATTAAGAGCAGTTCACATACACACTTGTGTGGACACTTTTTCTATGTCTTGGGTCAATACCTAGGACTGGAGTCATTAGGTCACGCATGTTTGATTGTATAAGGTACTGCCATCTTGCTTCCTAAGTGGTGTGCCACCTTGCATTCCCATCAGCAATTTATAAGATTTCTAGTTGCTCCATATCTCTGCTAGCTTTTGGTATTGTCAGTTTTTCTAAGTTAGCTATTCTCCTAGGTATACGTGATTGTAAATTTTCACTTACCTGATGTCTAGTGATTTTTTTTTTCATGACCATGCATGTGTTTTCTTTTGTGAAGTATCTGTTCAGATTCTTTGAATATTTTTAAATTGGGTTGTTCGTTTTTCTCACTATAGAGTTGTAAGCGTTTTTTATATAGTTTGGATGAAAATTCTTTCTCAAATGCATGTTTTTAATTGGTGCATTATAATGATACATAATAGTGGGATTCATTATGCTGTGTTTATACACACACATAGCATAATGTGATCAATTTTATTCCCCAGTACCTTCCTTTTCCTCCCCTCTTCTCTGTACCTGATCCACTTGCTCTACTCCACTGATATCTCTTGTATTATTATTATTTCATTTAGTTCATTATAATTATATATATGCAAGATTCTCTGTGGTATATTCATACTTAAATGCATGTTTTGCCTAAGTTTTCTCCCAGTGTATAGCTGCCTGCCTTTTGTTTCTGTTAATAATGTCTTTTTGAAGAGCAAAAGTTCTTAATCTTGATTATGTATATTTTATTTATCTTTTAAAATTTGCACTTTTTTTTTACTATTTAAGAATCTTTATTTAACAATAAGCTACAGTTTTTTTTTTTTCTACGACTTTAAGTAGTAGTTTTAGCTCTTACATTTTCCTTTGATTCCCCCCGTCCCTTTTTGGTTGTTTTTGAGTTCGTTTTTGTGTATGATATCCTCATTTGTTCTTTCTTTCCGATACTCTAATTACAAATATTAGACCTTTTAATATCATCTAGCAGGTTCCTGAGACATTGTTTTTCAAAAAAAATTCTAAAAATCTCTGCTTTTTATCATAAATATTTTCTATTGATGTATATTCAAGTTCATTTGCTTTTTATTTCTCTGTCATGTCAATTTGGCTGTTAAGTCCCTCCAGCTGTTATCTTTTAGTTCTAAAAGTTCTATTTGGTCAGGCATGACGGCATGTGCCTGTAGTCTCAGCACAGTGGGAGGATCAGTGGAGCGCAGGAGCTCGATACTAGGCAACATAGTGAGACTATCTTAAAAATAAAATAAATTTCTACTTGGTTCTCTTTTATTGTTTTTATTGCTTTACTAAGACTTCTTATTACCCTGGTGAGATTTCTCATGAATTATAAAGATGCTTTAACTTGATCTAACCCTCAGGTATTTATAATAGCCACTTTAAAATCCTTATGAGTTCCAACATTGGGTTAATCTTGGGTTGGATTTTGTTGATTTTTATTTCATTGAGATTTTTTTCCATTTTCTTAATTCTTCATATGCTGAGTAATTTTTTATGTATTCTAGATGATATGAACATTAAATTGTAAAGGTTCTGGATTCGGTTATTTTTCTCTGATAAGTATTGCTTCTTTTGTTTCAGCAGACAGTTTTGTTGGCTGAACTAGAAGTACAGATTTTTTTCTTGCATTGTAGCTCTGGTCTCAGTTCAGCTGGTCTGCTTGGAATCTGTTCAGTGTATGCATGTTTCCTGGGTCAGTCAGATATGTGGGTAGAGAGTTCAAGGATCCTCTCTCTGGATCACTCCTTGCAAGAGAGGTGTTCCCCACTGTGGCTGTGTGTACGTGGCAGACTGCACTCAGCTCCAGGCTAAAAGCTGGAGAGACCAGAATTTACCTGCAGAGCTCTCCTCTTCCACCTTCAAGCCACTCAAATCCCTGTTCACTGTGCAGTACCTGCAGTTAATGCTTTTTTTGCATTATGTCTTAGTTTATAGTTGTTTTCTATTAGGGATACTGTGTGCAAGATCTCAGTCTGAATAGCTAGAAGGAAAACCAAAATGTGCTTTTTAAATAGTAAAATTTGTGTTTTACAATTAATGATAATCAATGATCTAGGAATATTTTCCTTTACTTCTGCATTGCTATACTACATAGAAGATGAGAAAATAATTCAGTCACTTTGACATTAATTTTGAGCTCATGTATAAAACAGTACAACATCAGCTTGAAATTAAAGTTCAAAATTGTGGAGGACTGTACAAGTGAATGGTAAAATTGTTCACTAGTTGCCAGATCTTTGCAAGGAATGATACAAGAGATAAAAAGATGTATAAAAAGTGGCCCTTGCCCTAGGGAATTTGAAATTCAATAGAGGGCATAATATAGATACACAAAAACCATGACACAGGGGGCTATGCTTGGTGCCAAAGACCAACACAAAAAGTAATGGAAGTTCAGAAGATTAGAGACTATTTTCAAGTGGAGAAATCAGGAAAGATTTCATGGAAAAGTGATATTGAGATGGTTAAAAGATTAAAAGATGAGAACTGGTTGCAGGTAATCAAGGAAAGGAGGGAATTTCAAGAAGGAAATCAAAAATAAGGTCAAGAAGGGGAAGAGCAGAAAATATGTTGGCAGTTTTGTACCTGTGATGCTCAAAGTTTAGTGTATCCAAGATCCACTTAGGGCAGCTTAGCAAAATGTGAAACTTGGGCCTTATTAGAAATTCTAATTTGGAGGTGGTCGGGGGGTAAGATACAGGAATCTGAATTCTTAGTAATCACCCCCAAGTCTGTTCATTCAGATGTCTGGGATCATCCTTCAAAAACTGGCTTAGAGTGGTATCTGCATGTGAAAGTGCCAGGTAGATCTAGAAAAATTGATTGAAAGTGGGTGGTCCAGGGCTGGGGATGTGGCTCAAGTGGTAGCACGCTCGCCTGGCATGCCTGTGGCCCGGGTTCGATCCTCAGCACCCCATACAAACAAAGATGTTGTACCCACTGAAAACTAAGGGATAGTAGGGGATAGGAAAGGTAGCAGAATACAACAGTCACTAATATGGCATTATGTAAAAACGTGGATGTGTAACCGATGTGATTCTGCAATCTGTATTTGGGGTAAAAATGGGAGTTCATAACCCACTTGAATCAAATGTATGAAAGATGATATGTCAAGAGCTTTTTAATGTTTTGAACAACCAATAAAAAATAAATATTAAAAAAATTCTCTCTCTCTCTCACTTTCTCTCTCACACTCTCTATTTAAAAAAAAAAAGAAAGTGGGTGGTCCAAGGCTCAGAAACCATGCTGATAGCACCTATTAAAATGCTAGATCACCATGTTCCATAGGAGAGCTTATTTTCATTGTTACTCTACTTTGGCAGGCAACGGTGTTCTGTTACACGTGGCTGAGCATGCGTGTAAAATAGAATTATTTACAGAACCTTTGAAAAAGAGTATTTCATCTTACTGGGATTGCTACATAAGAAAACTGGAATTTTAGTTTTAGAGCCAAGTAAACCAACAAAACAGGTCACACCTACCTCAGCCTCAAGGCGGAATGAGTGACACTCCTTGCCAGGAACGTGTAGATGCTGAGTCAGCTTTAGTGACAGAAGAGCAGGTTTTCTGCCTGAATGAGCCTGTGGCTACCTGAGAAGATGAGACTGGTAAAGGCCAGCCAGGGGAAGACACAGGACCCAAAAGAAGGAAAATGTGAGCAGGGGTTGGCAGGTACAGGTCCTATCCAGCTGATCAAGTGATTGGGAGAGTCCTATAAGGAAGAGATTTGATAAGACCTCAGGACAGGTTTGGGGACTTCTGCCAAAGTGAGCAGGTTGGAAAGATCTAGAGTAAGATTCAGTTCTGAACTAATGAGGCTAAAGTGGTGCAGAGGTAGGGAGCCAGAGGAGTTGAATGGCCTGTGTGTTTAAATAGAGCCAAGGTATTCTGAGGGATCAGTGGTATCACCTGGCAGGCAGGTTTTGCTGTGTGAGGTTCCTCCACCAGCACCCTGACGTGGGACTCTGCATGTTTCCACAGCCACCTGGAATGGCCCCTCCACATGGACCTGATTTTCATGATCTGCAGAAGGCTGGGTGTCTTCCCAGGAATGAGATCTCATTGGCCTCTGCTACTTGACCTCACCAGACTTTCTCTTGAGTTCCATGTAGTTTTAGCTGTAATGACCTGGTCTAATGAAATTATGAGTAATAGTAAGCTGTAGCTATGCATTTCATCCTTCCTGCATCTGGGCTCTTTGAGACACAGGATATCACTTGTGAAAATCCAGAGTTGTTTGCATACGATGGATGATCCTGTGCTCCATAGAGAGTGGTTATAAAATATTATTGTTTATTACGAATAGCCCTTTCCTTCTGCTTCCCATCAGGTTAATACTATATGTGAAATATTCTAGGCCTCAGGTAAATGAAGATGATGGAAACCCAGTTGATGTGTTTTAGTCCAAATTTTCTTGATTCTGAGATTAGATAACTAAAGAAGTTTAGAGAATGGACGCTTTCATTCCTAATAGTTTACTAAGTCGTCCTCATCAAAACTGTTTTAGTCAGTTTTTTTGCTCTTGTGACCAAAAGACCTGACAGGAACAATTTTAGAGGAGAAAAAGTTTATTTTGGGGCTCACGGTTTCAGAGGTCTCAGTCCATAGATAGCAGGCCCCATTCCTTGAGGTTTACGGTGAGGCAGAACATCATGGTGGAGGAGTGTGGTGGAGGAAAGCAACTCAAGACGTGATGATCAGGAAACAGAGAGAGAGAACTCTCCTCACCACGACAAAATATATACCCCAAAGGCACACCCTCAATGACCCACTCCTCCAGCTACACCCTACTTGCCTACAGTTACCACTCAGTTAATCCTGATCAGGGGATTAATTCACTGATTAGGTTAAGGCGCTCTGACCCAATTAGTTCCCCTCTAAACCTTCTTACATTGTCTCAGTCATGAGTTTTGAGGGACACTTCAAATCTAAGCCATAACAAAAACATAACAACAACAACAACAATAACAAAACAAATACCAAAAACTTATGTTTGGCAATATAATTTTGATTAACATTTTTGAGAAGCTAGAATTATTCAAGTAATTTATCCAATCTTTATTTTACTACTGTAGGCCTGTGTTAAATTTAAAAAAGACTTTTTTTTCTTTTTTTTTAGTTGTAGATAGACACAACACTTTTATTTTATTTATTTATTTTTATGTGGTGCTGACACTCAAATCTAGTGCCTCACATGTGCTAGGCAAGTGCTCCACCACTGAGCTACAGCCCCAGCCCCAAATTTGAATATATAATATTAAACCACCAAAAAAATGTTAGGATTCTACAAAACATACTTACTACAGAGCAACAAACTTATAATAGAATTTTGCAGTGGTTACAAATACTCATGTAAGTTTATTGATTTGCAAAAATGCCTAGGGTATATATTAAATGGAAAAATAAGGTTTCAAAATGACATTATAATTGAGCCTATTTTGTAAGTGTGTGTGTGTGTGTGTGTGTGTGTGTGTGTAGGTAGGAAAAATACTCTAATTTCTAGATGCATATTCTTTAAACCACATTTTAAATGACATTTCCTCTTATTACTTTGATCGTTTTTTAAAAAATATTTTTTAGTTGTAGATGGATACAATGCCTTTATTTATTTATCTTTATGTGGTGCTGAGGATTGAACCCAGTGCCTCACACATGATAGGTGAGTGCTCTACCATTAGCCACAATCCCAGCCCTATTATTTTTATCTTGAAATAAAGAATTCATGTGTACTTAATTTCAGAACACAGGTTTTTGCAGTGAAGAGAATTTGATGGAAACATTCTTTATAACATTCATGTCACAACTTGGCAAATTCTCATTGTAATATTTTTGGTTTCTGGTAGAGGAAAGGTTATGTTCTTGAGTTGGCTATACATTTTGTTGGCATTGGTGTGACTTTCCATGCTGAAATTAATGCTTAATTTTTCTTCAACAGTTGGCTAAATTCCGCAGCCTCCTGTGTACAGCAGAGGGTGAAGCAGCGGCATTTTTGTTGAGTAATCACCGTCCACCCCAACCTCTGAAGGGCCGCAAAGTGAGAGCCTCTTTCTGTTAGCAGTGGTCTCCAGTGGACATCCCTAAACGTGACTGCAGAGAGACAGCAAACAAAACAAAACACAAAAATCCCCACTAACACTTCTTTCTAGAATTTTAATCTGTGAGTACCATTTTATGATCAGTGTTAACACCATGAGGAAAGCCAGATCTCTTTAGTTAAACCGACTTAGCTCATCTGCTCCGGATTTGCATGCAGGGATCAAGCAATAAACTTGGTCTGATGTTGTTAAAACCCCTGAAGTACAAAACAAAAACATGGCTGGCCTCACAAAACGTCAGAATGTACTGAAGATCCTACCTTGCCAGAGACTGAGTCACTTCAGCATGTCTCTCTGTGAAGTTTAATGACAAACTTCAATCACTTCCAGAATGTTCGGATTGTGATGTCTTTTTCTAAACAAGTGATTCTTAATGTTTTGATAGTGTGTTTATCAAAAGTCGGTATTTCCTTTTAAAGTGAATATTTGTTATGGATGTGTTGCTGATTCTAGTGTGATACTTTTAATAAAGTGCAAGATATGAGAGATCTGGGGGTGGGATATAGCTACTTAATTTGTCTACTTTTGTACTCAGTGTCTACTTTTCAGAGCAAAAATAACTATGATTTTGGTGAGGGATTCCCTAGGTTATAAAATAGCTATTTACACTTTAATCAATTATGCATATATCATCACTTGATAATGTTAATAATGAATCAGCTAAAATTGACAAGATGAAGTGTCTGCTAGTTCTGGCCTTACTGTGGTTTGAAATGAACAGATTAAACAATAGCAGTACAGGCAGAGCTGCTCAAGAGCATGATGAACAGGTTACCTGCTTTGCCCTGTTTTGATGATAGAGCAGGGACCAATCCTTAGTGTGTCATTTTTAGTGTCAATTAGTGAAAAAATTACTTGCATCTCATATAAATACCCCATTGGTCCATAAAACCTTAAGCCCATTTCCATGGCAAAGCCCATTTCCCCGTTTAGACACACCCCTTAGCCTATTAAGTAATTTTGTAAGATGGCACTTGATGTTAATTTTTACTTCCTATTTCTTGTTTATTTTGGTTGCTTTTGTTGGGGAGAATGAGGGCAGAGTTCCTTTTGCCCTTTCTGTTATGGAGTGACACCAAGCATTAACTTAATAGCCACATTTAAGACTTGAACAGTAGTAGTTCAAGTAGTTATCTTCTGAGAGAAGTTTATCTGGATGTCTTTGACTTGATGATTTGTTTTTGGACTCTCTCTTTCTGTGAATGTGGATTTTATTAATTCAAATTATTGTTACATTCTCCTTAATAGAACAAATGGGTATCAGTAAATTGTGTTCTGGTGATGTCTTCTGGTACATGAGATGAGCTCCTGAAGATTAAGGCTGGTATCTTGGTTGCCATTTCTTTCACTGTCTCTAGCTTGAGGCTTTGTGAATTAATATGCAGTAAATATTTAATGAATGAATGTTTAAAATTTTTTTACTATCTTCATGATTATCTCTCTGCTTGAGATCAAATGCAGTATAAATTAATCTAACAAGTAAAATATGTTTAATATCTTTAAAATTGTTTCTGAAAGGAATAATTTATTAAACCTGATTTGTATAACCAGAAGTTCTAATGGTTTTAAAAGTACCAGTGTTGGATGGGAAGGCATTTCTTTAGTTTGGAGAGACATGTTGTGAAGCATCCTAGTGAGGGAAAGAAGCTTGTTTTCTTAGAGAATGTAAGTTGCTGTATCCAGATGGTGTTTAGGATGGGGATTGTGATTACTGTGTGTGAGAGTTACCACTTTGTAATTTTCTGCTGCAGTATTACATCAGTTCTATGCCACAGGTTGCCCCTTAGTAGGCTAAAAAAGTCCGCACTGTACTGATCTCCTTGAAGGTTTTCTGCTTATTTATGTATCTCTTAGGGTCAAAAGGTTTAAGTGTGTTTTAAAATTACTATTTTATTTCCTTTACAAAAGTTGGAGTTTTAAATGTTAGTATAGATATCTGATGTTTGTTAAGCATTTTGTGTTATAATTTAAATTGGATTTAACCGCAATAAAGAAAATGAAAAAAAACCTTTCAACTGTATGAGGGCTGTATATATGCAATACATGGAATCAAATTAAAGTTTTGCCTAGAAACATTGCAAACACAGTGCCAAAAACACATTTCCCCCCTCAACTGTTTTAATGTAAGTTGTGTCCTGATTTCTCACCATCTTGTGTGCTATAGTGTGTATTCATTTCCTTTGAGCTGGAAGAAAGACATGGTCCTACATATCCACAGTAAAGCTAAAATAGACATGATATTCACGTTGTTCCATTATTGTCCACCCAATCCACTAGAGAATGATTTGTTCATTAGTTGTTCTGTTTCCTTTAGTCAGGAGCTGTTTTTTAGCCTTTTCTTGGTTTTCTTGATCTTGACAGTTTTGAAGATTATGGGCCAACTGTTTTATAGAATTTCCTTTAATTTGGGTTTCCTAGTATTTTCTTAGATTAGATTCAGCCTGTGTATTGTGGGCAGGAATATCACAAGAGGTGCTGTGTTCCCATTGCATTCTGCCAGGTAGTCAATTTTGATTTGTCCTATTATAGAATACATTCACTTTTGTCACTTGGTTATGACTCTGTCTGCTAGCCTTCTTCATTTTAAAGTGATTATCATTTGTAGTTAACAAATATTTGTATCTAGGAGGGATTTTTTTCAATACTGTAGATATCCATTTCCTCATTAAACCTCCTATGTATTCATTTATTTCCATCATGGACTTAAAGATACCTATTTTATTACTACCATTATTGTTATATATTCTGATTTTCTTCTTCTTTCTTTCTTTCTTTCTTTTTTTTTGATGCGGCCAGCTGGAGCATCTTCAAGCTGACTTCTCTGGCCATCTGACTCTCTATTTTGTTACTTTCTGACAGTTATATGATGCTCCTGGCTCATCTTATACTTTTCCTTCTCAGGCTTTAGAATCAGCAATTTTTCAAGGAGATCTGGCTTCTTTTAGTAGAAAATAGTATTGGAAAAACCATGATCTGCTCAGTAGGTGAGCTCAATGATATTGAAGTGTTGCTACTTCAAGACCCTCTCAGGGGATAGATGTCAAGAATGAGTGCATATCTACACACACACACACCTCTGTGTACTTATAAATGTCTATATGTTTTAAAAACTGATTTCATACTTGTATTTACAATTTCAATCCAACACTTTAGGATTCATTCTATATTTGTAATTCTTTTTTCTAGCAGTGAAAATCCAGACTTTTGTTGTTCTTAACATACTTATTTGGCCCATTCTTCTGCGTGTTGCCAATATTCCATAACCACCTCTGGTCTCTCACCCCTACCCTCCACAGAAGCTCCCTTCTCTCTCTGATGTCCCCTGCTGAGCTGCCTTGTCCCCCGATGTTGCACAATGTTCACTTGCTTGACTCTACCTAATGGTTGATGGACCAAGTTATTTAAGAACGGAAAGGAAGGGAAAATAAAGGATACCTTCAAAATAAAGGTATAAACTCAATGTTGGTGAACAGGAATACTCTTTTCCTTTTGCTTCGGCAGTGCTGGAGATTGAACCCAGAGCCTCGTGTGTGCTGAACTACATCCTTACTCTTCATTGAGTTGAATTGACTGGACATTTCTCCAGTGTGGCTAAAACCCCACCTTTGCCTTCCTGGAGAGGAATTACAACAGTCAGGAACACCCACCCTCACCCCAGCCCCGCTCATGGACTGAGAGAAGTCTTCCTGCTGGAGGATTCTCAGCATTTCCTTGCTCCTCTACCCCATCAGAATAAATCACTTGGTGGAAGGAAGTGGGTCCATTGAACTTCCCATTTCCAATGAGTTTGTTTTCAGTACCAGGTCCTCTGGGTGAAAAGGGAGGTCAGGTTAGCTTAGCTGGGCTCAAGGTTACCTTAGCTGTGCTTATGGGTGAGAGCTGTAGAAACCCTTGTGTGGGTTTGTGTCTCAATGAGATCAGATTGACCATAACTTGGTCCTAAGTTCCTCATGGAAGGCATAACTTAGAAAAACATGTCACACAAAAGGTTGCTGTTTTAACAAGGACTTCTGGAAACACGCATCCATGGTTGGGCTGCTACTGGGAGCAGCTGGAGGTATAGGGAGCCTCTCTGAGGGTCCCAGACACAAACATATAATTAAATGCTCGTTGTCATTTAAAAATGTATGTGGCACTATCAGCTTCCTATGGGAAAACAGAAACCACTCATTTTTTCAAAGAGAGGGTGTAAATGCTTAAAATTAATTACAGAAGTGATGGAGGATGCTGAAAAAACAGAGGACAGGGAGACAATCAAGTTTAGGAAAACCTTCCTCCTTCCTTAGAGGAGGGCAGGGTTCCTAGAGCCTAGAAACCAGGGCCACACAGTTGAAGCTGAAAGGAAAGGGCCTGGTTAGCAGGATCTTGTTATTTTTTGGAAAGACCAGCTACTACCTGAGACCCTGACTGAGACAGAGAGACAGGGAGGAATACTTTAGGTTCTCTGTCCATTTCATCCTCCAGACTCCCACTGGTGATACCCAGTATTGGAGCCTAGCCAGAAGCCAGACCACGTGGAGACACATGAGGTCATCCCCTTTGCTATACAGAAAAAAAATCAGTGGACAAGTACAGTAGTGGATATGAGGGCAAATGGACTTAGGACCTGGAAAGGCACTGGCTGGAACCTCCATTAGGGAGGTCAGGTGAATGGATATGAGGCTAGACCAGAAGTTTCCAGAGATGGAAGGCCATTGCTAAACTTCTCTTCCACTCAGGAAATTTAATTTGACCCTCATTTATTGAACATCTTATGTGCTAAGTATAGAGGTATAAAGGTTAAGAAGTGATTTGTGCTGGGCACGGTGGTGCATGCCTGTAATGCCAGCGGCTAGGGAGGCTGAGATAGGAGGACTGCAAGTTCAAAGCCAGCCTCAGCAATGGTGAGACACGAAGCAACTCAGTGAGACCATGTCTATAATTAAATGCAAAATAGGGCTTGGATGGGGCTCAGTGGTAAAGTGCCCCTGAGTTCAATCCCCAGTACCTACCCCTAAAAAAAAAAAAAAAAAGATAAAAGAGGAAGTGATTTTGCTGTTAGCTCAGATCTTCCAAGGCAACTATAGGGTATCATGAGAACATTAATTCTTTTTTTTTTTTTTTTGGTACCAAGGTTTGAACTCAGGGGCACTCAAACACTGAGCCACATCCCCAGCCCTATTTTGTATTTTATTTAGAGACAGGGTCTCACTGAGTTGCTTAGCATCTCGCTTTTGCTAAGGCTGGCTTTGAACTTGCGATCCTCCTGCCTCAGCCTCCCGAGCCACTGGGATTACAGGTGTGTGCCACCGAACCTGGCTTGAGAACATTAACTCTAGATGAATTAATTCTGGAGAAATTGACATCAAGGTTTTCAAATGTTATGTATTTGGAATTTGAGTTCTTTTGTTCTCTATGTGGTTTTGTACCTGGGTAGGGAACTATGTCATTAAGGATTCTTTTGTTTGAAAATGATAGAAACTCCATTTTAAAATAGCTAAGGAAAATAATGGGGTTTGCTGTTTCACAGAATTGAAAAAAATCACAGGTAAAGCCAGATTTCATTGTGATAAAGCCAGGAGCTTAGATCAGGTCTCAGTCTTTTATGTCTTGGCTGTCTCCACTTCTGTGGGCTTCATTAGCCAGTCAGACTTTCCTTTTATGTTTTCAGGATGAGTCTTTGCACCTCTGCACCTATGCCACCTCTGTAAGCTACACCTGTGCTGCCAGCCGAGCTTCTGTGTCCAAAGATCTCAATACAAGAACGACCTGAATTCTCATTTGTCTAGTCTGAGTCACTTGCCCTTCCTTAACCAAGCCATCATGGCCAGCAGGAAAACACTGGCTCAGGAGGGCAGGTGGCGTCAGCCCCTTTCAAAACTGACTGGACTAAGGCCAGAGGAGGGGTGGCTATAGTGAAGTAGCGCAGTGGAACGAAGCTGCTTGATGACACAATTCAGTTGTTGTTCCACGTGGGGCTCAGGTGCAGACACTGAATTCCCATGCTTGTGGTGTGTCTCTTGGTGACCTCTCCCAAGTTCCAAGGAGTAAGCAATGTCTCCTTTAGATCTCATCCTTATCTTTCTTAGCTGTCATCGAACTTGTCCAGCAACCAGGATGGATGGAGCATGCCTTCCCTTCACAGCATCTGGTTCTTACAGGCAACTCAAGAAGAACTTGTTGAAAGCATAATGGATGAGAATATGGGTGACTAAGGGCTCTGATTACATGTCAAGTTGGCACAGCTTGCAATCCATTCTTCCTCAATGAAATAGCAAGTGCCCATAGATCATTCACCAACCCCAGCAATTTGTTCCCTAAAGAAATGCTAGTCTCCTTATGTCAGAGAAAACATTTGGCATTTGTTTTTTTTGGGATTGGCTATATGTGTAATAAGAATTGTGATACATTCCGCTGTCATGTATTTAAAAAATAAAATCAATTAAAAAAAAAGAAATGCTAGTCTAACAATTTTGGAATTGCTCCAAGATAAATGGGAGTGGAATTTTGTAGATTTATACTGTGACAGAATGGATACACCCTCTCCTCAGGATGGTCTCCAAACAAATGTCACCTTTCTTTGTTTTGGCCAAGGTCCACCACCAGTCTCTCCTCTGAGGGAAACCTTTTCTACTGCCATCACCTGGACAACCAGGAAATTTCCTCAGCCTGTGTCCTGGAGTGACTGATCTCCAAGTGTCCAGCTGACTCCTGGGAGATCCCAGAGACACTTGCAGGTGGTTGGTGAAGTTGGTTCT